ACAGCCCGGAGCCGCCGTCGGGGTCAGGGCGCGCCGCGGGGAACCCTCCGGGGAGCGCCGGGCTCCGTGCCCAGGGACCTGGCCGACCCCGCTGCGACGATGCCCGCGGGCCGAGGGGACCCCCTTCCCGGGGGGTCGGCGGTGTGAGCCCGCCGCGGCCGAGCGACGACATGCTGAGCCCTACGACCGCCCTCTCCCGGCGCGCCTCCCCGGGCCTGTCCCCCGACGCGGCCGGCAGCGACCGCAGCTCCGCCGGGGTCCCCGAGAAGCCCGGCTACCCCGATTCCGTGTACGTGAGGGCCGCCAACATTTTCCAGGGGATTCGAACCGAAAAGGCGCCGGATAAAGTGTTGATCAAGTACGGGAACCAGCCGCTGCCGTCCTCGGAGTCGGAGGACGAGTCCTGGCGGCGCCTGTCCTACGAGCTGGCCTTCAGCGCCCTGAAATGTGAGTGTCATCGGGGAGATCGGCGCTCCAGGACACCCAGCGACAGGCCCGGGGGAGCTGGCCCCCACCACACACGCACACCTGGCCTTTTGTTTAAGCACTGGCCTGTCTTCGGTTAATTGCAAATGCCAAGAAATTAGAGGAGGCCCCTGAAACTAGCTTTCAGGCTCTTTTTTCTTTTCTTTCCTTCTTTTTTTCTTTTTCCTTTTTCTTTCTTTCCTTTCCCTTTTCTTTTTGTCTTTCTCCTTTCTTTTTTCTTTCTTTCTTTCCTTCTTCTCTCCTCCCTCTCTCTCCCTCCCTCTCTCTCTTTCTTTCCCTCTCTCATTTTTCCATGTTCCAGGTACATACAGGTAGCGCCCGCATTCCAATGAACAGGGAAACATCTTGATTACCAGCGAACTGGAAGCTGATTTCCCTCTAATTCTTTCTATTTCCTATCTTGCGTTTCATGAGCTGTGGCAAACAGACAACTAAGGGAGTGTAGAAAGAGAATTAAAACTGCAATTCGAAAAAGATACAGTATTGCAAAAACTAATATCAAGATGAAGGCAGACCCAATTCCAATGAGCCCCTTCATGGCCAATAGCTTTCATTTTGGGGAGCCTACCTTGAGTAGGCTTTCCCTTTGTGCGTTGTCTCCAGGATTTGAGACTCCCTGATTCCCTTAATGGTGACTAATGGCCACCTCCCAAACCCTAGGAAATAAGCAGATACTGTTATGAGGAGAGCAGAGGGCCCGAAGGCTTTTGTGCTAGCCTTGATTATAAACCTTGTATTAGTTTGTATATTGTAGCTTGAAATGGAAGTTCTAGAAATATTTAGAGCGTTAGCGGCCTGGCTCAAATGAGCATATGACTTGGTAGAGAGACACACGGGAAGGGGCAACATGTCTTAGTGCTAGTACTTAGGAGGCCTTGAACATCCTTGCACAGAGGAAGCCTCTACATTTTGGTCAGTTAAATTAAAATGTCCCATTGTCTATTTAGACACCGATATATATTTGTGGTTGTCTGCAGAGGCGATGTAGCTTGACTCTGAAACCCCTAATTTGTAATCCAGGAAAATTTGTACGATTCTACAAGCAGCTTCTTTAGTTTTCATCTCTTGCTCATGATTTTTTTTTTTTCTCTTAATGTCTGTCTTTTTTTTTTTTTTTTTTGAGAGGTTTTTGCTATAGGGGGTGTGCGCTTGCCAGAAAGAGAGAGACAAAATGAGAAATCACATCACCCCCCAGGGGGGACAGCCACAACAGAATCCCTTCTCCATTCTCCTCTTGGGATCTTGGGCATGCACGCACGTGTGCCCGGCGTGAGTTTAAGCCACCGGGTCTGGGACTCAAACCGTGGTCAACTACATGGGAGTCCAGCGACATAGCCATTATGCTAACTGCTGGTCCTTCTTTATGTCTGTCTTAACCATTTTTCTTCCTCCAGTTTAATCTTTCAGATTCCGTTTTACGCCTTCCCCAGGCTCCTTCCTACATCCTACGCAAGTTTCTCTATACACATCAAACAAACTTTATGTTTTTTCCTTGCAACAATTAAATGCAACCTGGATAGCCATGTGGATGAATGTATATTTAATGTTAATGCTAGAATTCTGTTATAAGCAATTAAACATTGAATCTTACCTTTAGAAGTCAATAATAAAAGCCTGAATTATTCTATGTAAAATTAATGCATTAACGAGGTGGTATGTAAAGATATATATGTAGATTATTCTTTTTCTTCCCAACACTGTGTTCTGTTTACAAACCTGATTTTCCTTGAAACACCATTTTTATAAATTCAAAGATGGCATTGGTTTTTATTAAAAAATATTTTATATATATATATATATATGTATGTATGTATATATTTTTGCTATAGGGTTTGTGTGCTTGCTTGAGACAGAGAGTGAGAGGGAAGGTGAGAAAGCAAACCCCAGGGGCGTGGATGGTTATGTTGCAACCCCTTTCTCCTCTATTCTCCTCTTGGGATTTCGGACACACACGCACGCACACCTGGTGCTTTTCAGGCTGCTGGGTCTGGGACTCACACTGCAGTTGGACATGTGAGATCCGGCTGCCTTAACCTCTGCTGGCCTCTAAAATATTATAATCATACTATCTTGATTTAAATTATTATCTGACTAATTTCTGAATGCTCAATGCAGTAAGATCAGAATTGTAAATGCACTTGGTTTTCCAAGATAATTAAGACCTTGATCCTTTTTGCCAGAAAGCATGTGTGCTCACCATAGAGAGTCAGGGAGCAAGAGGGAGAAAGCATTCCTCAGTGGGGCGTGGTCAGACTACAATTCCTTCTCTTTCATTTCCCCATTCCATTGGGACTTGGGGCATGCATACAGTCACATGTTTCTGGAGTGTTTTTTGAGCCTTGGGGCCAGAACTTGAACTGCATTATCAGCCATGTGGAATCTGGCTCCTTTAACCAGGCAATGTGGCTGGCCCCAAAGCATGGTATTGTAACTATTAAACTATTGGGGACTCTTGTGCATTTCACTTTTTTTTGAGAGTTTATTTTTGCTGTAGGGCACATGCACTCATCAGAAAGACAGACAGAGACAGAGACACAGAAAGCGAGGAGTCACCCCCAGGGGGGGATGGGCACGCCGCAATCCTTTCTCCTCCATTCTTCTCTCGGGATCTTGGGCACGCACGCACATGCGCCCGGCGTGAGTTTAAGCTACCAGGGCCGGGACTCGAACTGCGTCGACTACATGGGAGTCCAGCGACATAGCCATTACATCAACTGCTGGTCCCTGCATTTCAGTTTTGATCTTCTGAATTACCAGCGTTTTATGAGGTTCCACATGTGAAACTTTTTTTTACTTTTTTGAAATTTATTTACATGTAATCATGTCTTTACAGTATACATTTGTTTTTCCAACACAAATACCATTCAAGTCCTCAAGACAAAGATATTACCATATACATTGTCATCAGCAAATAACTTCTCATTTTTTATCAGTTAATCATACTTTTACCAGTTTTTTCCTTCCCCTTTCCCCTTCCTCCCTTCCATACTATTTTTTTTTAACGTTTTATTGATTCACAAAAGATCTTAAACTAAAAGTATGGACAAAGCTAGAATCTAGTGACAAGTGCACTATTTTTTTTTCTGAAACTTTTTTTTTCTTTATTCCCCTTTACTAAAGAGAGGTATAAACTAACTTATTTGCCAAAAAAAAAAAAGGTTAATCTCAATTTGGTCTGCTTTTGCACAAAGCCCCAGAAGGATTCAATTTCTAATGGAAGGCAACAAATACTAGTGTATTATTGAACTTATGCAAATAACCAATCTGCCACAAAATAAGAATGCCCACAAATATTTTCCAATTGCAAAGGGCTCAGGGAGGGAGAAAAGTTTATGTTTCAATTTAAAAAATTCTTTTTTTTTGGAGAGGTTTTTGCTATAGGGCACGTGCGCTCGCCAGACAGACAGAGAGAGACATAGAGACAGAATGCGAGAAATCACCCCCCAGGGGGGATGGTCACGCCGCAATCCCTTCTCCTCCATTCTCCTCTTGGGATCTTGGGCACGCACGCACACGCACCGGCATGAGTTTTAAGCCACTGGGTCTGGGACGCGAACCGTGGTCGACTACATGGGAGTCCAGCGACATAGCCATTACGCTAACTGCTGGTCCCATTTTTTTTTTTTTTTTTAAACAAATTGCTGAATCCATCGACAACTCAAAAAGAAAACAAGAATCCTTAAGTCTGGAAGACAAAGCATAGAAGAAAATCAGTAATGTTTTAGAAAAAAGTCATAGAATTCTATTTCACCAGTTCAGTCTCATGTAATCTCTTTTGTTGAATGTGTTACTGTGGTCTGACCTTTCTCTTGAAAGTCAACATTATTATTTATATTTCAGAACTTGTCCCTGCCATTAAGTTGGCCTTTTTCTTGGTCATTGTTTGTTCTCTTATTTCTCTGTCTTTAGTTTTCCTGATCTAGTACTCCCTTCAGAACTTCTCGAAGAGATGGCTCGGTGTTGGTAAATTCTTTCAGGGTTTGTTTATCTGAGAATGTTTTTATCTTTTCTTTCCACATGAAGGATAATCTTGCTGATATAGTATCTTTGGTTGAAATTGTTTTTCACTGGACTCTTTGAATATATTTTCCCATTCTTTCATTGTTTGCATCGTTTCTGATGAGAGGTCCCATGTCAGCCCAATGGGATATCCTTTGAAAGGACCTTGACTTTCTCTTGCCAATTTTAGTATCTTGCGTCTGTCTGTGGTTTTGGACTATCTGGCTATGATGTGCCTTGGAGAAGATCTTCTTGGATTGATTCTATATGGGGTCCTTTGTATTTCTTGGGTCTGGATATTTGAATGCCTCTCTGGGTTTGGAAAGTTTTCTTCCAGGATTTCATGGACTAAATTATCAGTGCCTTGATTCGTTTCCTCACCTTCTGGGATACCTATTATACGGATGTTTGGTGTCTGATAGTATCTAGTATTACTCGTATATTTTCATTGTTTTTGGGTTATTTTCTCAGTCTTTTTGGTGAATTTTTCTAGGTCAGAGGTTCTGTCTTCTACATCTGAGATTTGATCCTCTGCATGATCTAATCTACTTTTAATACTTTCAAGGGAGATTTCGATTTCCTGTATCACATCCTTCATCTTCTAACAGTTCCATTTGATTCTTTTTTTATGGTGTGTTTCATCTCTTTCAGTTCGTGCAAGAACTTCCTTACCTCCTGGAACTTGTCTCTTTTCTCCTAGATTTTTTGGAGTTCATTGTGTCTCTTCTCTTGCATCTCTGTTAGCTTTGTCACTATGAATATCCTAAATTCTTCACCTGACATTTCCATGAGTTACATTGTTCTGTATGTGGATGGTGAAGGGTGGTTCTTTCCCCTTGGGGGAGAGATATTTTCTTGATTATCCGTATTTCTTGTGCCTCTGTGGTGGTTTCTGGTCATCCGATGGATTATATGTTACTTCCTACCTTGAAGTTAATTCTGGTTGTTCACTGGGTGTTGGG